CCCCAAAATGCCCTTCCCCCCCCCCCTCCCCCCCCCCCCCTTACCACCTCACTGCTTGGCATGTTAGGCTTCGTTCACATGCAATGTCTATTTTCTAAATTCTATTTTCTATTTGTGGCATGTCTTATGATCACGGTCTGTGCACTGAATATCCCGCAGCGTAATTACTGGCAGCGCGAGCCAGTTACTATAAGTTACTATAAGTAACTGGCTCGCGCTGCCAGTAATTACGCGGCGGGATATTCAGTGCACAGACCGTGATCATAAGATAGCGCGAATAGAAAATAGAATTTAGAAAATAGACATTGCATGTGAACGAAGCCTTAGGTCCAGATTTCGAGGATGAGATAGGCATTTGGTAGGGATGGGTAACGGTGAGGAATTATGGTAAAACTCTTGCAGGTTTATGTCATCAACATCAGTTAAGACATTGTCTTTATGGGGTTGCACCTTTATATGCAAATAGCACCGGGCACACTAGAAATATATGGAATATCATTTAGTGTTGACCTGGAATTTGACAGAAGAAGAGTTTGTTATTGTATGTGAGGCGGGGCCTCTTTTTGGTAGGAAGTGCTCCCCACAGGTACGGCCTAATAGATGACCACACTAATTTAGATGACCGCACCAATTGAAATGACCACGGCAAAAGGGAGTGGATTTAATTTATATGTTACATGTATGCTTACATGGACTAAAGGAGGGAGACGTTTTGGGATTTGTTTTAGTAAGTTTGGTTACCGTGGAGACACATTGGCTACGCAACCTTGGGGCCATTGCTACGTGCAGTGGTGAACGGAACGTGCATAAAGGGTTTTTGTTTGTTTGTAAACATAGAGGTTAATAAACCACTGTGTCTGCCAAATGTTTGATAATAGTCATACATTATCATAAATATTTAATGACACTATTCTTTGCTATTTATTACCCAGGTTGAGGGGCTGAAACTCTCAAATTGTTTGATTGTGTATTGTATGGTTAAGATTTATTTTGACATTGTTTACTTAGAAGAGAATATGTTGAAATAATTTAATAGGTTTGACAGAGAAAAGAGAAAGAAAGTTGACAACTAGGCCATTATTTGTACAGAAGTTCTGTGGCCTGGGAAATAAGATGATTTCTTAGAATAGCAATAAATCCAAAATTAATCAGTGTTTTTCTGGACATATGACAAAAAGCTCAACATTTTATCCCAGGTAGAGTACAGAGGCCCTTTGAGGAAGGAAGGATTGGATGTAGAATTCTTCGCACCTCCATACCTTAGCGAATGAAACAAAATAGCTGTTGCTTATGCTGATACTTCATACATCAATAAACTTGATGGATAGTTTATGTTAAATATTTCAGAATTAAGAATTCCAGTATAAATATACCATCAGGCTACGGCTTCCACTTTTCTGTTTCAACAATTGTTTTTTTCACAAAGTCAATGATAAATTAACTTTTTCAAATGTGTTTTAATTTCTTTCACTTGAAAGTGATTCATTATGAACCAAATCTTTTAAGCCCCCTTGTGAGCCTTGTAATTCTATGTTTGAATCATGGAAGGAAAATTTCGCAGCATTTGAAAAGATGGCTTCTTCTTATCAAAAGTAGCCATTTTGTTCTAAGTCACTTTTTATTTTCTAAGCAATGGCAGTTCTTTTATCAGTAGCGGAACCAACAAAGCTGAGAGTGCATACTTGAGGAATTCCAGCAAAGATCTCTCAATATGAGACTGGCTTGCTTGGAGTATTTAATTTACAGGTGGCATTTTAATTTCCTGCAAAATACTGCTCTTTGGTGAATCTAGGGATTCTCAATTGATTTTCACAAATTACTTGATCATGACAAGGCACAATTTGATATTGTCTGCCTTCCGCCTGCTTCTGTCATCTTGTTCAGTTGATTTGATTTGTGGATTATAAAAGAATGGTCTCTGGAAGACCCAAGGACCCATCATTTTCCAAATGAATTAAATTAATCTGTCAGTATATATATTTAAAGTTAAAAATAAATTATTTAGTATAAACCTGATAGTGCTCATTGCTAAAGTAATTTTTCATCAATTTTTTATCTGGGCAAGGCACTCTTCCCATTGTAATGAACTGTGTTAGATGTTTCCTCATCTTTATTCTCTTTGATATTCAGATTGATATTCAGAATGGCATGGTTCTCCACATTTGTGTGCTGCTATCAGTTCTGTCTCTTATATGAAGCATCAGACTTTTTTCATCTTCTCTTTAGAAGTCCAGTATAAAACGTGTCAGAAAAAGCCTGTTGGTTTAAGGTTATTACACGGAGAAAATGTCAAGATTCTCTTGATAAAAATAGAAATCATCTTTGTTCTGATAATTGTAGTCCTTTTAAAGAATGAGTCTCAGCAGTGAGGTTTTCCATTTTGAATTCTCATTAGTGGTGTCATTTCAAAGACATATTTCTGTTGATGTCATTTGCTGTTGAAAGAATTTAAAAATAGATATTCAATTTTTATCTCTGGCTTAACTTCACATGACCTTATACATCAACACCAGCAACATGGACGAGGCAAATCTTTTGATCAGAACATCTTGATGTAGCTTCTTCTAGTGTTATCGTCCTTCCTTGCTGATATTAGCTCCTGATTGGTGTACCACAGTCTTG